ATGCCTTGAAGGTTTATCTTGAGTGCTCAGCCTCCCTTAGTACTAGGCAGATTCCTCTTTTGCAACATCCAATTCATTTCACCACCTGTCTTAAACTCTATTTGACTGAATTCATCTTCATTATTTCTGAGGCATCTGATGATCTTTGAGTTTTATCGATTGATTTGTTCCTATTCAGCAACTTGTAGAATGTGTGGTCCCACGACGTAATAGCATCTCCTGAGACCACTTTTGCCACTGAGCCTGCAGTAATTCCGGCGATATCTTCGGGAGAAAGTTACACTTTTGTCCTCCTCTATACTATCTCGCTCCCACGTTTTGAATGTGGATTCCACAATAAAGTCGGAAATCAAGAAGGGGAAAGATACTTAATAAGAAGGCAGACGGTCCTTTTGAATGTGCGGGACGATGCGCGTTTCACAGCAAAGGTATGCCCTCAGCTGCCTGCCTGACAGGGCCGTAACCCGCGCTTCTGTGAGGCGCCTAAACCCTCTAGCGCTGGCAACCTCCGCCCGACTCGAACTACGAATACTAGGCAATTAAAGAGTTGAGACGTGAAGCAGAGCGTTCACGATGATTACCAGCAACGATGAGACTCGCCCACACGCGGAATTCACTGGGGTTTTTCTTGGTTTTTCCTCATTTCCGCATATCCACCACCTCTACTTCGATTTCTAATGGGTTGTCTTGTTATCATAAACTCCGCCTTTGAAAACGAGATCCAGAAGCTTATATTGTGTGTTTTTTTTTCAGCAGGAATCGCTACAGAAGTCCATCAGCGCTGGAGGGCATATTTCTGGTCAGAATGACGTCCCACTTACACCTTTGCTCAGCGACGAGAAGGGAGAAAATGCTTGGTAGGGAAGAAACAGCGGCTGCTTCCGACCTATTTCAGTAACTTGCTAAATTCGAGTACGCAGCGTCTGTTACAGGTTTGTGGCTGGTGTCATGCCTCTCGACAAAAAGAACACTTTTGAACGAGTGCTTTGGCGAGCGTGTAGACGAACGGCCTTTGTGCGAATCAGCGATGTGACACTCACATTGGAGGATCCTGTTACAGTGAGTTTACAGGGAATATTCAATGTGTTTGAAACTTCTATTGGTTCTATACCACTCAAAAAGCTTTGTAGAACAATTGAATGAAAGGGATTAGTCCCATGCCAATTTCACCTTTCATAACTTTTCATCAGCTAGGGTTTCAGAAGAAATGGGTTCTCTGCTTTAGAAAATGGTTTCAATTTGTTGAAGTGAAATAGATGCGAGAAACGCGACTCATTTTGTGCGGTGTATTAGTTGCAGTGTATGTCACGGCGATGTGTTTGGTTTTGTTGCATGAGACGGATGCAACTCATCACAAAAATTCAAAGGTGTAGGGTTTCCCTGCAGTTGTAATGACAGATGAACAGGGGAAAATCAGCTACACGCTCGCAATGGAAACCTGTGAAAGAGTCTAGAAATCGAGTCGATTTTCGGTCGGGGGCAGGGGCGGGGGGTTCAAGAAGAAGTTCGAGAATCAGAACAGGGGAACAAGGGAGCATAAGCACTCAAGAGGCTCGCGTGCAAGCCATTTATGATATTTGCAGTAGTGCGAGGTATGGTAGTGAGCGCACAGCCGTGGAACGTTGGTTTGTGTGTCACCGGCGATGATTTTGGCGGAATACGTCAGTCAGTTGTTGTGTTGTAATCAGCATAAAAGGCAATACACATCTATACGAAATTTGTCCGTTGTAGTCTTAATTTCGATTCTCGTTAATCATTTTGTTTTTTGTTTTGAATCTGCCATAAATAATATTGGCACAATTTCCAGCTCGCGCCCATTATAAAATGTGTATTTATCGTATTTTTCAAAGGAGAAAGCCTGAAGCTTATCGTTGATAAAGTATGCGATGGGTGAGCAGTTTTCTTTCAAAATTGATTGATTTCTATTCGACAATGGTCATACTGCGGTAGAACTATTCATAGTTTTTTTTTTAGCTTCAATGCTAGGCAGTACCCATGCCCGAAAACATCAAAGGAACGACAACAAGCACTTTTCGAGACTATAGCTCGTATCCAAGATCTCAAAACTGTCATCGATAGCACGCAAGAGCATCGATTTCAAGTAAGTTCTGTTCACACACTGAAAGTTTCTGAAATAAATATAGATTTTTCATAAGTCCATTTTTATTTGGCTTCTTTCTCTACTTGAGCGTTTCGGTCTGTCGTCTGTCACAGTGTCTTTCTCAACGAGAAATTCCCCACTTTCTGGAGATTTGCATGGAGGACGGCCAAGTTATGGGTGATTGGTGTTGCGCATGTCTTCGATGAGTACGAAACCATGGTCAGCTAAGAGGATGTCTCGCGCCAGGGGGGACAGATAGTGGCGTTCTGTACGACTTTTCGCCTGTACAGGATTACAATGCGTAACTTCTGGCCGCAAATACAAAATGGATCGCAGCTTCTTGCGAAGACTTGCTTGCATGGTTGATTGGACACGTTGCTAAGGGAGGACACAGGATAGTCGATAGAAAGCGAATGGACTAGTTAGGCAAGTCTCAAAAGAAAAGGTAGAAAGACGTAATCAAGAAGGACCTAAGTGAAGTCATGACCATAGCAGTAATTCCCTGGACAGATTAAGTGGCGACGAGTGACAGTCGGCGGACCTTTTGACTACGCAGACTAATGTATGGTACTGTTTCGAGTCTGGTTATGGCAAGTGCGCAACTTGTTTTTAGCATTTTTGTGGATTCCACATACTGGGAGAGGGTGTTATTCGGAACCTGGTAAGGAAGACAGCCCCCTATCAAAAATGAATGCGTATTCGTAATCGGCGCTCAGCTGGCAATACAGATGAGGTTTCGCTGTGCAATGGATTTTTCTGACATTCTCGACTTATTGGATATTTACAGCACGAATGGCGCCCGATGCTCACTTAACTATACGCTAATCTAGTTCCAACTTTGAACTTTAGAATCTTTCGATCAGTTGTATCGTGGAAACGAACGATTTCGTTATTTCTTTTTACAGATTCTGACAAACGTCGCTAAAGATCTGCCGGGATGGTTGAAGAAGGTGCACCTACAAAAGGCCATTTACAGCACGTTGAATAGGTTCACGGTTAGCGAGTTTATAGTTGCTTGATTATTTTTGACGTTTGAAATTGAAATACAGTATGTTTTCGGTACATAGGTAGACACAAATGGTTTTTTGGCAGCTCAATGCTGGATTCCGGAAAGGGAAATGGATACTGTTCATTTAGCGTTGTGTGATGGATTGGTTAGTTTTTATGCAACGTGCCCTACTTTGAACAGTTTTTTTTAATCCGGATATCTTTATCAGTTTCTTCTTTAGAAGGCAAGTGGTTCCGATGTGTCTCCTATCCTAAACGAGATGGTTCCTCAAGGGCCGCCGCCCACTTACCATCGCACTAACAAATTCACCTCGGTGTTCCAATCAATTGTGGATTCATATGGTGTGGCAACTTATAGAGAAGTTAATCCTGGTTAGTTTCTGAAGCATACAATATTCAAAGGCACGGTCCGGGATCAGACTGGGAAGGAAGAATATAAAAAGAGCAAATCTCAGTATAAACAAAAATCTCGAAATTTTATTTTTCGACAAAATTTTGTCTGGGGGCGGGCACTGGCGCAAGTTGGAGCTGTTCGTAAAACTCGTCTAAACACTCCACTCTCAATTTCACGGTGGAATGCGGCTGAAAGAGAGTGGGCCCGGTTTGGGCTTAATCAGGGGTTCTTTTTAACAACTTTCTCTTTCTTTTCCGGAGCATTCCTCACCCCTCAGCTATTATTGAACGCTCTCACACACCAATTTTGTCCCTGGCTTGCTTCTAAATTTTTGACGTCAGCACAATGTTTGCAATTACATATGTAATGACTTCTTTCAGCTCCCTTCACTATTATCACCTTTCCCTTCCTATTTGGTGTTATGTTTGGTGATGCTGCACATGGACTGATATTATTTTTGGCTGGTAATCTCACTATTATTTATTATTTTAGCGTTTCATTTTTGAACTCACATTGATTATGGTGATTGTGATGGGGCGCTTATTTAGGACTATTCTTTATCATGAACGAAAAGAAGATCACTGAGCGAAGGATACGTGATGAGGTGAAAATTATATTTTAATCACTATTATAGTTACAATTATCACCAACTGTTGAACCGTTTGTCGTTACCTCCCTCGGCAGGCGCCAGCAACGTCTCCATTTAGCCCTGTTGCGAGCCAAAGTAATCCTGTGGATTTCCGTTGCTTGTGGTACACAACTTGCAATATGTGATGCGGGTAGTGCAGCTGATTTGTAGCTGGTTTTCTTTTTACACGCGCTAGAATTAACTTTCGGTGCTTTCGCAATATACGGGGGCATTGTGATGGCAATGCGTTCGAAAACGCGTAAAACATGTCTTTTTGTTGAAAACGGGACTAAGCCTTTAAGCGAGGGAGAGAGACTCCAAGGTGCGTGAGTCATTTTCATTTTCTCCTTGGAGCTCCTGCCCCCTCACTTAATCTTAGTCCTAGAGGATTGTCGTCGCATATAGGCGCGACGCTGCGAACTTTCTTAGTGAGCCTACTGCTAACTGAGGGGATGTAAGAACTCATGTTGATGCGTGAAACCTGGCGAATTTGATCTTCATTTCTCATCAATGAAGCGTATTTTTTTTTGGAATAGTGCTCGAGAAGATGTGGACGTCTGCTTTGCCTCTCTGTCTTTTATTTGGAGTCGGTTTGAAACAGGCTGGCTCGGTAATAAGAGGTTTTCGTGCATGACAGAAGTTTTCGCGAAATGAAACATTTTCTCATAATCGTAACAAATTCCCGAAGTTGTCCGGAGCGCGTTTAATTTTCGATGTTGCGTGTTGGCGCGAGGCGGGTGGAACCGGGATGTATATCTGACACACACGACTGCAACACTGCAAAACTCTCATGACGAAGCTGCTGTCGCCTGACTGGTTCGGGGTATTTAGTCTCGCGTGTCTTGAAAACCATTACGAAATAGCTGTTGTGGGAGTCGGGAAAACCTATTTCTGTAAATTTCTTGTAAAATTTAAAGCCATATCAAACATTTTTTATGAGTGCGGTCGATATATTATAATTTTAATGGGCCTGTTTTCCATCTACACAGGAATATTGTATAACGATGCGTTTGCCAAGTCCATAAATGTATTTGGCAGCTCTTGGGCTAACCCATACAAGTAAGTTGTTCAATCTCTTACTCATGACCCTTTGATGAAACTCTATATGGAGGAATTTAGTAAGAGTGAGATTGATTCGTGGCTTCAGCCAAAGTCAGACGCTCAGGAGCTGAGGCTTACGACGGTAACACTTGATCCAGCAACGGCGTTTTTGAAAGAGGTAAAGAGGATTATCTTGTGGTCATATTCACCACATTATATCGTTTTGTTACTTAGCGTGGACCCTATCCAATGGGAGTAGATCCCGTATGGAATATTGCTGTCAACCGGCTGTCGTTTTTGAACTCGATGAAGATGAAAATGTCAGTGATTATTGGAGTGCTTCAGATGACATTCGGCTTATTCTTGTCATTCCTGAACCATGTGTGAGTTTGAAGCTTTCTTTTGGTGTGGGAAGTATTATATTTACATGCCAGCAGTGCAGTGGCTTTATTTATTGCTTACTGTTTTTTGATAAAATCTCAGTTGCTGTTTACTACTTTACTACTTTACTCAGTTGCTGTTTTTATAGGTTCTTCAAATCCAAAGTGGACATCTTAACAAATTTCATACCTCAGATGGTCTTTATGGGTTGTATTTTTATTTATCTTTGTGTACAGATTGTGGCTAAATGGGTGTTCTTTTCCGTTGAAAAAGGCATCGTTCTAGGAATGGAGTATCCTGGTAAGTTGGCGTTTTTTCTTATGCTTCCAAACCCCTTTCACATGCGAGCTGCCTCATCTGTCAAATAGGGTCTGATTTTGCTAGTGCAACGATTAGGCAGGGCCCGACTTTGGCACGATAAAAAAATACGAGTTTGGTGTATCGTTGCAGATCCGTATAATTTGCATTCTGCCGCCAAACCACTCTAGATCGGTGTTAGACTCCGCGATTGCAATCGCCAAGTCTGACACATGTCTCACCGCCCAAACTGCGACCCCATTTCTTAGGCAAGATCGGCCGCCCTTTCGGCCGTTTATGAAAAAAAATACGACCCCTCCTCCCACTCCTAATACTCATCACAAACCTGTCACTGTTTGTGCTGCTATCATTCTTCAAACCAGGCAGCATCTTTTAGAAATAAAATGCCAGCTTGCAGAGTGTCTCTCCTTCTCCCTCATAATCACTCCCAAAGTCACAAGGTAATGATGATAGCTCCCGTTTGACTCGCAGGCGGGCGGTCGACACAATTCAGCCCATCAGTGGCGCGAACTATTAGGTTGTCTCATAAATAGTGTCGCTTTTTTTCAACCAGAAAATTTTGATCTAAATCCCCATGCTTTTAC